ATTCATTCATTCATCCATCCATTCATTCATTCATTCATTCATTCATCCATTCATCCATTCATCCACCCATCCACCATTCATTCATTCATTCATTCATCCATCCATCCACCCATTCATTCATTCATTCACTCATCCATCCACCCATTCATTCATCCATCCATCCATCCATCCATCCATCCATCCATTCATCCATCTCATCCATCCATCCATCCATCCATCATCCATCCATCCATCCATCCATCCATCCATCCATCCATTTCTGGCAGCTTATCCGGGGTCGGGTCATGGAGGCAGCAGCCTAAGCAGTGAGGCCCAGACTTCCCTCTTCCCAGCCACTTGGGCCAGCTCCTCCAAGGGTAATCCCAAGGTGTTCCCTGGCCAGCCGAGAGGACATAATCCCTCTAGCGCAGGGGTGTCAAACTCATTTTAGCTCAGGGGCCACATTGAGGGAAATCTAGTCCCAAGTGGGCGGACCGTGAATAAAAAAAAATACTTCAGATTGTTTTCTTTGTTTTAATACAATCAATATAAAGCAAGGCTGGAGCCTGAGGACAGTGTAGTATAAGTACAACACCTGATGTGTACTTGAAATTTTGAAAAAAAAAAATCAACAAATAAAAACATTCCTTAGTGATTCAAAGAGCTTACAGGTCACATGGCTAGATCAGTTTCATGCAGCACTTAAAGTATATTTGACTCATTTTACTTTACATCTTTTAGCTTTCACCAGCACATCAACATCAGGAGTCACATCCTGAGTGGCGGCCAACTTCAGGATGTGATTCAAGTTCTTGTGTGAGCCTTGAGCGCAGCTTTGTTTTATTTATACTCACTACAGAGAAAACTTGCTCACAATGATACGTTTATTTTCACTCTACATTGTAAAGTATGAAAATAAAGTTTACACAACCATCTCGCGGGCCGGATTTAACCCGCTTGCGGGCCGGATCCGGCCCGCGGGCCGCATGTTTGACACCCCTGCTCTAGCGTGTCCTGGGTCCGTCTTTAGGTCTCCTCCTGGTTGGACATGCTCGGAAAACCTCACCAGGGAGGCGTCCTAACTGGCTCCTCTCGATGTACCAGTGGTAATATTTGACTATATATTGTGTCTATCTTTGCTCTGGAGGTGTAAAACAGCAGGATACAGGCCCCCATGGAGAAACAACGAATCTCTATTCCACTTGTTTTTAACTTCTGATCTAATTAAGGTCTAATCAGACAGCATGAAACTATCAGCAGCAATGTGCTGTCAGTGAGCACGCTTTACGTCGTGTGCTTTTATTGACTTTTAGGTTTTAGCTGGTGGAGGGAGCACAGGTGTGTTCCAGCGGGCTGTGACAGGCTGAGAGGCAGACGGCATAAACTACATGATGACTCTGAGAACACAGGACATGTTGGGCATTTCATACTGTGCTGTAAAAACCGAACACAAACTCATTCATCACCCAAAGAAGAACATCACAGACCATTTACCTCAAAGATGATGAGGACATAGACCCCAGCCAGGATGACTCCAGCGATGGCCACCTGTGTCTCCTTGGTGACGTAGAGCGATTGGTGGGTCATGGACAATGGCACAACCTCGTTATCTTGCAGGAAGGCCTGGATGGTGATGACGATAGGATCGCTTTCCAGGAAGCAAAACAGCAACAGTAATGATGTCAGATGTCATTTCGATGCATGTTTCCACAGTTGAAGTGTCTAAAGTCCATCCACTGACGTTACGCAACAAAAATGTGCATCAGCGCAAAAGGAACATCTTTGGGGGTTTTAGCTGCTAAAATTCATGAAAAAAACTGTAGATTTTTTTCTTAATAAAAAAGGTGTTTAGTGGATTAAATAAGCACAGATCCTCCTTTCAGCTCCAGTTATAACAATCTACTTCCTGTTTATTTCACTCAGACCACACTGATGAGCCAAAGCTTGCATAAAGACAATCTGAACTAAGGTGTGTGTTTTAGGACATCCTCAAGGTCAAAGCATCCTAGCATCAGATGTCAGGATAGGTGAAAAGGCATCATTTATCGCGGCACAGACAAAAACACAAAAACAAAGGGTTCAGACAAAAAAGCATGAGATCACACAAGTTCTCAGACTTCAGACCAGACTTTCTTAGAAAATCACAATACTGAAGATACATTTCAACTCTTCATTTCTCCATCAACTTTAAAGTCTGAGTTTGTTTTTTTAATACATAATGCTTTTGGTCAGATGGTCCTTTTCCTGTTGCCTTGTGCTTTTTCACCAGGGGTCATTTGCTTTGAGGTCTAAAGATGTTTCTCTGAGGCCTGAAGATACATCATATCCAGATCTGGTCAACTGCATCTTCAACCCTCCCACTGTCCTGATGGGTGTGACCCCGCGAAGAAAGTTGACCATTGAGCAGGGTTGATGGTTTATCCCTAGAGGTCCACGTGGCAGGGGTGAGGTGGTGCTCACTCCTCACTCCTGCCACGTGGACCTCAAGGGACAAACCATCAATCCTGCTCAACCTTCCTCGCGGGGTCACACCCATTAGGACAGTGGGAGGGTTAAATTAGCAGAGTGGTGTTTCGTCCTTGTCTTACTAATTTTTGCATGAGCGTGAATACATTTGCTAATTTCACGTTTAAGCTAATTTGTTTGGCACATTGGCCGTTGCAGCTTTTAAACATGTTTGCATGCCTATTGGCAATGTTCTCACATAGTCTAGCTATCATGAAGATTAAAAAATGAACAAAATTAATAAAGTGGTTCTCTCGCATTTGCCTAAAAATCTCTGCCAATAACACATTTCGGACCAAGAGCACTGACTGGAACATTCGGTTGTCAGTCTCACCGAGCTCACCTGGGTCTTTCATTCATTACTCTCACGTACTGGTGTGAGAGGTTCTTAGCTCAACAACATCAGAGAGGGAGAAATAGCGGATGCTACCACTTTAACTTTAGGACAAACTGCCAGAGTCCCACAAAGAAAAACACCATTCGAAGTCACGGACAACCAAAGATGCTTGGACCTAGAAACAGTGACTGGTGTTTAGCACCGTCTTGTTTCCTCTTGAAATGACGGTGTCCGGTTTGGCAGCAGCGTCTCAGGGAAGATACCCGAGGGGAGAGTGAGTGTTGTGTGACCGTGTTTGTGTTCAAAACCTAGCTTGTTTACAGATTTGTTATAACAGCTTTAATGATTTATTGTGGAAGTTGTACTTCTACATGACTGTTACAGCCCAGACAGATGGATCATTACCTGCTGAGCATCTCAAAGGTTTTGCTTATTTTTATCTGGTCACTTCGTTCTGCATGTAGAGGGACGGTCCAATTATGAGTCACCTGTAAACAAACAGAATTTAAATGGCCTGTATTTGTATGGTGCCTCAGGGCTCTCATTCACCCATTCACACACACGCTGGTGATGATAATAATAATAATGCATTGAACTTATATAGCGCTTTTCAAGACACCCAAAGACGCTTTCACACACCGCTAGTGATGGTAAGCTACTTGTAGCCACAGCCGCCCTGGGGAGGTCTGACAGAGGTGAGGCTGCCATTTGGCGCCGTCGGCCCCTCTGACCACCACTAACACAGGCAAGTTGGGTGAAGTGTCTTGCCCAAGGACACAACAGCAGGATACCCCTGGCGGGAGCTGGAATTGAACCCATGACCCTCCGATGATGAGCTATGATGTAGCCACAGCTGCCCTGGGGCGCACTGACAGAGGTGAGGCCACCACTGGTCCCTTCAACCACCACCAGTAGGAAGGGTGGGTTAGGTGTCTTGCCCAAGGACACAACATCAGCATTTTCTGGTTGGAGTTAGGATCGAACTTGTAATCTTCCTATTACTGGACAACCCACTCTACCTCCTGAACTACTGCTGTCCCAATTTAAATATTCAGATTTTTTTTTAAACGAATTTCGCTAAAACTCTGACCTGCTGTGTCCTCCTTCTCCGTGGACCTGGCTGCTCACTCTGTTCCACCTGGATCAGGATGTAGTCCTGGGGGGTTGGGTCTAAAAGCCCTCTGGCAAAAGGTCCTGCCACCTGCAGCTTCAGCAAGGCATTGTCCCGAAAGTCAGTCACATTCATGGCTGTCAGACGTGGAGTGTCAAGAAGCAAATGTGGCCAGGCTAAATGTGTGTTTGCATATTTGAAATTAGTCTGGCAGTTTTGTGCTATTGTGAAGAAAAGATTTGTGCTTTTACTCAGACAAATACTGAATTATCAAAGCTGCTTTTGCAGCAAAGGATACAAAAGCTGTCTGATGGAGAGACTGCCAACATCTTCCAGGGGTTGTCCCGATCTGGATACATACTGAAAAACAGCTGTGAGCAGAATGAAATCATCACTGATGTGGCATTCAACAATCGACGTTAAAAACAGTTCAACATTTCTCCAGTGTGTTGTATGTCCTCTGAAGGCCTGGTTAGTTACTATCTACACGGCACCGCAGCTTAGACAAACGTGGAGTTTCCACCAAAATGTGCTCAACTCCCCTCTAACAGAAAACTTTAATTTTGTCCATCATCATCTTCATTCTGCTCACTTACACTGCAAAGAACAACGATAGCAAACATGGTGGCAATTTTGGAGACTCTGAGGCAGCATCTGAAAATAAAACATAAATAAAAATGCTGTAAATATAAAAAGGGTCAAATGTTGGATTCTTGAAACTGATAAAAGAAGCATAACTGAGGCTCAGAACATGAACTTGAACTGAAGAAACATGCTGGCTGTACAGTTCATTTTGAAAAATTATTAAAAATCAATTATTTGCCATAAATAATCCTCTGAACTTTTATCCGTTTATTTCCTCAGTAGCTACTGAACCATACTAGTATGGAAATCTAATAAGGACAAATCATGAGAGCCTAAAGTCCTTCAGTTCTTTGGAGGATTAACTGATGTGAATTGTTGTCTTACTTGACGCTGCTGTTGAGTCTGAAGCTGCGATTGAGATTTTCCAGGGCGTCGTACTTCTCTGAAGAGTTAGAACGTGACAGGCCGGCCACCTCACTGCCCAGCCGGTATCGTCTCTCGATGTCCAAGGAGCAGGTGTCCCATGGCTCCTCCACTCCCACAAAGCTGGGCTCGTGTACAGTCATATAGGTAAGGCTGAAGGACAAACATTCACCATGATGGGTTTGCTTTGCTCCGGTCAATTCTCACACTGTTTCTTGACATCTCACCATACCTGCTCAGGTAGCATTCTGCTGCCTTAAAAGCTCTAATTTGACATGTGCCATTCTGTTAGCTAGACTGAAAAAATCAGTTAGCCCCAAAACTACTAAAAAAATTAAGCTTGTGAAACTAATTTTTGTAGGAAGAACTCTTAAAATTGTAAACATCAGCGGGACTGATAACAGAAGCTAACAGTTCAAGAACACTGAACCAGTGAAAGAACACACCTTACCTTCCCATCCATCACATCACATTGGGGTTGTTGTAATAATGCATATGGTCGATAATCCACAAGCTCACCTGTCATTTTGGGAGAATCTCAGCAGAGGAGACCTCTCTGTCAGATTAGCTGAATTTGTTTTTCCTCTGAGAAAGTTGACAGCGTTGAAGTTATGCCTGAAACTAAAAACACAATGAGTTGAACCCCCAGAAGCAGGCACCTAAGTTAAACAGTGAGAGAGAAACCCTGGGCTGCCAGGTACCAGTAAGAGCGACGTCCCGGACCTCTAGGTGGTTGCATGTAGGTGGGCGAGCAGCTATTGACCATCAGCAAAGGCTTGTTTAGAGACCGCAGAAAATTCTTCTGCTCTCAGTTGTATCTGATACTAATAATTGTTGTAAGTTCATTCTTTACTTAAGTTCACTTTCACTTCTAACATGAACTGGACAGATTGAACTTATTAGGGTCAGATGCCACAAGGTGCTTGAGATTTTTACTGCTCACCATGCCAGCTAACACATTTACACCCGGTAACAGCCTCAAACCGAACTAGAGTTAACCCGGCCTTTGGATTGTGTTACTTTATATATATATATATATATATTGTATTGTGGCAGCCTGTCCATGGGGGTGCTAGTGCAACGCCATCCTTGACGTGAAGGAAAAATTTTAGTAGTAAAAAACATCCGCAATACATATTTACCATTAATGTATCACCATTGCTTAATTGTATGTCTTTCCATGTAATCTAAAGAATTTACTCATCGTTTTGACCTGCTGTCTCACAGTGAATTCCCTCCAACACATTCACTAACATCACACACAGCGTTGGGAAAAGCGACCCTGAACTGTAGCTACTTAGCCAATCACATTTGGTTTCTGGGAAGAACAAGAGAGATTTTGGCCAATCACCTTAGCTGAAATCAATGCCTCTGGGACGCTGGGCAATAGCGCCCTTGCTAAAGAAGAGGGTGCATGACGCTGTCAGAAGAACCCTCTGTATTAACCCCTCTGTGTGTGTAGGGGGCGGGCGGATCATTGCTGAAATATGCTTGATCTTCTGATGGGGAGCTGTTGGCGCAACAACAGCCTTGGATGGGGCCATTTAACATGGAACTGCTTTTAAGTAAATAAGATTGTGTCCCACTTCTTTCATCAAACACAACCAACTGGTCACAACCGGTGTTCACACATAGTTTACGTATCTAAAGGTCCTTAAAAAGAGAATTAACACAAAGGAATCACTTCATCTCAGTGTAAACGAACGCGGACCGGATGTTGCTTGCTTTTTTCACGCAACGGCTCACGGTCAATAAGAATAAGGTAGATAGTTAGTTAAACAGGATATAATGTTGCATTAGTGCCACCTACTGGTTGAACAGAGTATTGCAATTCAAGGAGCACATGCTTTGAGGAGATGATTGAGACAAGCACAAGCTGAAAAACACACTTGGGGCAGCTCAGGTGGTAGAGCGGGTTGCCTCATGATCGGAGGGTCATGGGTGTGATTCCAGCTCCCGCCAGGGGTATCCTGCTGTTGTGTCCTTGGGCAAGACACTTCACCTAACTTGCCTGTGTTAGTGGTGGTCAGAGGGGCCGACGGCGCCAAATGGCAGCCTCACCTCTGTCAGACCTCCCCAGGGCGGCTGTGGCTACAAGTAGCTTACCATCACTAGCAGTGTGTGAATGTGAGAGTGTGTGAAAGCGTCTTTGAGTGTCCTAAAAAGTGCTATATGATGTATTTTTATTATTATTAATGTCAAAAATGGGAATGAGGACAATAAAGGACACAATGGACTGCAGCAGGCTTGTGTATTTATTTGAGAATTATAGTCAGATTTGAACATTGTTTAATCTTTAAAACAGTTAGTTGGAGAGGGAAATAATGATTGTTTTGTAATTGTAGTCATTTTCCAACTGTTCATGTGAATAATTAAACTAGACCAAAATGGGAATTCTTTTCATAGCCTTACCAAGAATTATTTTCACCAGCTGCCACTGCATATATGAACGTTCATTTGACCGACAGAACCTCCACTCGGTTGTCACATGGTTTCAAGCATGCATATTAAACTACTCTTTAACTTAAAGTCCCACAAAGTCAGGATGAACTACAAGGGTAGAAAATGAACTAATCTCAGTGAGTTGAAGATAACGCAAACTTGCACTAACCCTAACCCTATAAACACAAACAACAGGTGTGCTCATTAGTGATCTGAGCCTTAGGTGTGACAGAGAAGGATGCAAGGTTAGATTCTACTAAATAAAACAGGAAGTGATGTTCCAGTGTAAACAGATGCTAGCAAAAAAGGTCAAACACAAAGCCCAGCAAACCTAAGAAACGTTGGTGAAATATTTCTAAAGCCAAAGGTTTTCTGAGGTAATCCTGTAATCTGTAGCAGGTTCATTTTTATGCTTATCAAGGAGCTTTAAAGCCTAAAATTCATTTCATGCACAACATGAAGTATGGACTTTTACATCTCTAAAGCCTTTTTTCTGCTACAGTATTGGATATAAATATTTTGTAAGTATACATTTTTGGAGACATTAATTTATTTGCATGGAGGAAATAATAGTCGATCACATTAGGTTGGGACTGTTCCAACAAGTCCATTGCAAACAGTTGGGCTCTTTGTGTTGTGAAGGTGTACACTGGGATAAAGTGGTAGATTACATTTGGGTGGGTTTGGCAGATTAATATCCTGGGATCTCTTATACAACTACAAAGAGATTTAAAGCATTTCCACAAACGTTTTCTCCCCTTTTTTTCACCGACTCAGTCCCTAAATAGGGTCTGATGTTGTGTTTAATTAAATGTCTTGAAAGGAGATTATGTGTCAAAATGTGAGGCTAAAATTAGAATACAGTGTAACGTGATGAAGGTTCTCTAATTTGTGTCAAAGGTCACATCTACCCGGGTCAAGCTGGGTCAAACAGTACTTTTAAATCCACAGATTAAACCAGGAGCCACGATGTCTGCTCAAGATCATATCCTTATCTGCTGCTGTTCCATCCCAAGAGGAGGGTTAGGGTTAATAATAATTAATAAAACTCATTGATTTTATTACTGTTTAATATAATAATCATAAATGATCACTTGGTTCAGTATAAAGGTATTTTAATTACATGAAATGAATTTATGCTTTGGGTATAATAATGATTAATTATGATTATGGTTGATGACAGTACAAGATGTGTTCAGCAAAGGTCAGTTCACCTTATCCATCTAACACAGAGTCCAGATAAACGATAACTGCAACACGTTTTTGACGCATGATCAAAGCTTTCTTGCTGAGAGAGTGGGAGTGTCCTGAGAGCTTTGTAAACTGTAAGCATCACCATCTTCAAGTCAGTTCTTGAACCAACATCACGGAGGAAGGGAACGGCCGTCCCTGAACCTCCACCTGCTTTTCCAGTCAAGCCGACAAGAATAGCTAAGAATAAACAAAACTGTAAGCAGCTAACGAAGACTCTACCCAGAGTTGTTGATTTCTGAGTCAAGTTAAGACGAAAAACTCCTTCAGAGTTACGGACTTTGAGACGCCAATAGTTCATCAGTCGTGTGACCCACGGAGACAACCCAGGACTGATTTGGTCGCATAGAGGTTCTTCTACCATCCTCGCGCCCGGAGGAAATCATCTCCACCTGACATCTCCGATCCGAAAGGGGGTGTCCGGAAACTGGGTGAGGTAGACACTAATCGACAGATGACGTTTGATGCTGTTCTCTCTAAATAGCTCAGTTAGCCACAAAACATCATTTCCATCCAGAACGCTTCTTCTCTCCCTGAAAGAAACCTTCTGATAATTCCATTCACGCATCCAAACTCGTATTTCCAATTTAGCTTCCATCCAGCCACAGGTTTGCTTTTAAAACAAGTTTCATATCAAAGCTGTTAAAAATTGTCATTAAATTGTTATCCATGAATTGTCGTTTCAAATCTTTAAGTTAAAATTGTTAGAAATTAAATTTCTTCATTTTTAAACTTGCCTCATTATTGAAACGAAACACAGAAAAGCTATCATATTTCTGGTTATTTGAAAGCAAAGATCCTAGCTTCTGATTCAAAATAACTTTTGCTATTAAATTTAACTATTTATATTAAATGTTAATCTTTGGATTAAAATTAGACCAAACAGGTTGGTGTGTGAAATTAGATCGATATATGAGTATCCGGGATATTTATACATGATCTAAGCCTCATAGGTTAATCTGATTGGTCCTTTTTCAGAATCTCCAACTGAATAGCAACAGAGTTGATTCCAGTGTGTAGTTTAATTCTCTACAACATCCTTTTCTATATGAAAAGACTTAAAGAGTGAGTCAACCCCTCATAAACTGTATAAATAAGAGTCTAATAGTGCTGTAGACATGAGTAGTGGACGGATGAATGTGCATTTTATTTACATTCTGCATAAAACTGTTATTATCGCATCCTCTTCAGGCTAAAACTCTGCTCTGCATTGATTTTGAATCAGCCATTGCTAGTGACTAAGAGGTACCCAGTGGCGTTCTCTGTACCGTATAACTCGGCTGCACTGCACTGACCTGCAGCCGAGTCTCGGCCACACCGCTGGCTGGTTCAGCCGCTCACGAGCCAGAATGAAGCTCCTCCTCCCTCTCTAGTGAACAAGGTGGAGAGAAAACCCTCCTGCTAGTGTGCGTACGTGCGTGCGTGCGTGCGTGTGTGTGTGTGTGTGTGTGCGTGTGTGTGTGTGTGTGTGTGTGCGTGTGTGTGTGTGTACTATAAAACTATATACTCAAACTTGATCTTTCATCAACAAGTTCCCAGAGAAACTCCCCAGTTTAATCCCGATAACGTCACAGCCACAAGATTAAGATTAGTAACCCCCCATTCCCAGTGAGTCTGAGACTCACCCAGCACTACACTCATTCACATCCGTGTGTCGGAGTGTTCACAGTTCAAAAGAAGCGGAGTCTTTTCCACCTGGCATGTCCAGGCATCGCTTTAATGTTTTAACCGTTGGGTCACATGCATCACCTTTCTGCACGTGTGGATTAAACCAGGTTATGCGTTTAATCCAGTGAGAACGAGAGACAGGCTGGTAACCCGCTGAGTTTTCTCAGGGAAAAGCAGAGCATGGGAGGAGTGAATGTGTGGGTTTCACATCCCAGAGGATAAGCTGAAACACAATTCTGTGAATATGAAGGAATTATTACAGTCGATGGTGGTTTTGATCTTAATTTCCTTTCATCTTTTTCTGTCAAAAGTCAAAAATAAAACTAAACTTAAGTTTTCCTCTAGTATTAATAAAACAGGCTAATCGGTCTGTCAGGTCTGCTGATTGGATTTATTTATCTATTGCTTATTTCATTCATAAAAAGCATCCATTAATTCAATTATTTACCAGATTATAGTCTACAGTGAGGTCAGGCAATCGTGTACCTGATTTATTTCCTCTGTGGATCTTCTTTAGTTTCTATCTAAGCTGTAAAATTACACATTGCTTCAGTAAAATAAGCGTGGAAGTTGTCCCTTTTTGCAATTCTTAATTTTGAATAAAAGCACGTAACATTTAGTGACTGAATACAGGTGCTCATCAAAACCTGAAGACATACAATCCATGTGCCAACCACTAAGTATTTATGGGACAAAACACCCAGCGACGTCATTCTGTGTTTTTAAAACCAAATGTTGTTGAGCTCAAGTGTTTAGTCACTCATTACAAATGGCTGCTTGAGCACGCAGCAGCAGGTCAGGACCAGGAGATCCGAAGGCCCGGTCCGTTCAGCTGTTGTGTCTCCGTTTACAGTTTGGCACAGTAAGGAATTTGCTAAAGCGTCAGCACATCGTGACCGCTGCGTTGTGAGTTACGTTACTGATTGGCACATAACACACAGAACGCGCCAAAAGCAGTGAACAGAACATCATTTCCAACGGCTTTACAACTACCTGGCAGCATTCCCGCCCACCAAGCGCACCGGGCCGTTTACCGGGCCACTCCAAGTACCTACCTCTGATCAGGCACCCAGAACATCCCTGAAAACGGCCGTTCGGCCGGCTCGGTCACATGGTGACATGCGCATGTCGGGAGGTTCCTGAAAATCTACCCTGAAGTTCCGATAGTGGAAACACGCCTAATGCGAATGAACAGAAGTCAGTTCCTGGGTTTTGTTTGTTTGTTTTGTTCATCGTGATCTTTCTCAGACAGATCTAAGATCTTAACCAGGCTCCTAAACAGAAGGCAGCAGCTGACGTAACCATGAGCAGAAAAAGGCTTCTTCTTACCCGTCCTCTTGTCGAACAGGGCCGAAGACCTCTGTGTGGATAACACACTGTCCTGAGGGCAGAACAGCAGACTGCTGCAGCTTCTGGGTGTCGCCCCGCTCTGAGATGCCCTGCAGCAGGCGCAGCTCCCCAAAGTTTCCTGCAACGGCCTCAGGTGACCTCAGGCTGCTCCTGCCCTGATGGTGGCCTGCAGCTGAGGTCTGAGACATTTCAATCTCCAGGTTGGTTTTGTTCTCCAAATACATGATGAGATCACTGGATGGGAAAGACGGAAGAAAATGGTTCTGTTTGTGTGACTTTAAAAAAATCTCAGGAGCCATTTGAGCTGCAGGAACCTCCAGAAGCACACCGACTGGTGATGACTTCCTGCTACAGTTGCCATGCTCCTGTGCAGAGTTTACGAGGGCTTGTGGCTTCCACTGCCAACAACAGAGCTGTGTGCATCAGCCAGAGTAGCAAAGCTTCAGGTCAAAATGCAAAAAAGGAAGTAATGATCTGAAAAAGTAAAAGGCTGCGTGGAGTTTGGTGGACCAGCAGTCAGGCGGTCCGTTTCTGTGGTTTCTACCTGCTGCCAAAACAAAGAGGATTTGCTGCTCGAATGCTTTCATTTCAGCTCAAAATGATGTCAAATTTAACGATCGTGTTTGAAATCATTTATTTTATTGTTGCCATTACAGTTTTCCCCAAGTCTAAATGCCCCCATAGCTGATCAACGTTAGTAAAAACGTGATTGTCTACGGTGAACATGATTTGACTCATGATGTGAGTAGCTGGGATCTTCAATAACCAACAGCAGCAGGGTGTTATGATGCGAGATCACCCACAAAACTGCTAAATTAAATCTTCAAACAGACCCCAGATTGTTTGTCTTGGGAGTGAAAATATTACAGTATTTAAAGGGGGTTGAGTCTCAGCCTATGAAGGAGGGAATCAGAGAATAAGACCAGCCTCGGCCTGCTAGTGGTCCTCAGCAGGCTGCGTGAAAGGGATCGGATTATTGCTCATGTGAAAGGCGCCAGGAATGCACATGTGACATTTAGTGAGTGAACTAAAGTACTCTACGGGAGCTGCAGGAGAGGGATGAAAAACTTCTGTTTCCAGAAAAAGCAGAAAAACAATCATTTCTATTGTTAGGTGTTGCGTTTATAACATCCCTCTGATCTGTTTCATTAAGTTTCCTCAAACGCATCATTTACCTCCACAAAAAAAGTTTGTTTGGCTTTCATAATTTTACATCACTGCCCTTTAACCTGACGTGGATTCATTAGCATTCACTAGTGCTGGTTTTGGTTACGTCTCACGGTTGTCAGATGCTTGTGATGATACTCTCCGTCACAGAAAACAACGACCCTCTATCCAGCATCCTGCCTGCAGGCTGAAGCTGATGCCAAAAACAAACAGCTTCTTCATCATTTTCCTGCTTCGTTCACAGCAATTAAATATTTCACATATTAAACGAGCCTTTAACCGAAACTATGCGCTGCCATCGGAGTGAAATATAATCACATTTTTGTAGCAAAGCACTATTTTCAAAGCTGCAAATGAAGTCTGCACATACACAAGGCTAAACATCTAAAACAGAGCCGGAATGCGTGATATTTATAAAATATTTTATCGTTTTGAAAAATGCGATAAGACAAATGAAGGTGGTCAAACTTACCGTGACAAACAGAAACTCCAGCTGAAGACAGAAGCAGTGATGGAAACAGGTTGAAGCCTCCACAACAAAATCACTTTTCATCAATCAGAAGTTGAATTTAGAAGTTTTAACAGATGCTGCAGGGATTGTTTCTAATTTATTTTAATGTTTTTTGTTAGGGATGGGAGGTGGAAAAGTGGTTATAGCACTCTCCCCAGGAAAAAAGAGCAGTCCCTGAGTGCTGTAGACTGAAGGGGGTGGAGAGGGAGGAGAGGCAGATGGACAGGCTGGGGGAGGTTCAGTATTCATGCAGCCCAACACTAAACTTTCCTCCCCAGATTCTCAAAACTTTCCTTTTAATTCCAACATCCAGCTGAGGACTGGGCAGACACTTATCACAGCATCACGTCCTGCATGTGTCTGTGGATGCTGCACAGGAACACGTGATGCCTTTCAGGATGTTTGCTAAGATCATTTCTATGCACATTAGTTTGTTTTATCAGCGTTAAAGAAAATTTTGAGAATTTTAGAGGACAAAAATACAATTTTAAAACAGTATTCAGGAATGATTTGGTGCACAGAAATGTAGAAAACTGAGAAAATAGAATGTCTGAAAAGTCTCTTGGGTAATTTGTTTTAGTAAGTGATTGCAGTTTTATAGAAGTAACTCAGTGTGGGCTGTAGGTGAAATGCAAATGATGGTGCTGATGTTTACTTCGGTGCCAGGGATGGTTTGTAACAACATATCTCAAAAACCTCTGAATGGATTCTAATAAAACTCTCAGAAAGGAATCATTGATGTGATAAACTTTTGGATCATGTTCAAGATGGCTTCCACGTCTATTCGGTCTTAGCTACGATAAAAAGGACTTCTGTTTTTATACTCCTCTGATCCATCACCACCCCAATGTTTCAGATGACCATATTAAAAAGTCACAAACATGCAAATACAAATAATAATAAAACATTTTCACCTATTTACATGTGGTCATGATTAAATAAAGATGTAAGGCACTGTACTCTGGGAAAAAAGTTTTCATTTACATTTTTATTATGTTTGTCTGACCACAGGGCTCAGCAGAAAAAGATCTTCCCCTCGTGCTGTCCACTGAACCGGGCTAACAGGACCTAAGTAGTTAGAAACTCCCTCTGCTAAATCCTCCTCCTGCAAGAATCATCTGTCTAGCCAGCTGAAAACAGTATCTAAAAAGCAAGAATCAGGCAGAAATGCATTTCCAACTATTCTCTGCCTCAAAGCAATCTTTCCAGTTGGTGGAGTCTCAGCATCTCCCGCCTTCATTCTTGGAAACCAGTGAAGACAATATTTCCTATTGAGTGGAGTCACCTGGTCTGGACTCAGCGCGGCCCGAGACGGCAGAGGATTAACGCTGCTCAGAGAAGATGTCCAGGGGGCTGACTGCACACTGGTCTTGTGGGCGAATGTGAGATTTATTAAGCAGTCACATGGAAAAATGCAACCTCACGCTGCAGGACTGGAGCCGAGGGGCTCCAGGGGCATTTAGATGCTTTCATTTTGTTTTCATTGTTAAACTGCGGTTGCCACAAATGCAAGATAAAAACATCCGATACTGGGAGGATCTTTTTATTTTTCCAAAGATCAGGTGATGCTTGGATCCTCAGACTCAGAAAATACTCCAAACTGGACACATGAACCTTTTCCTGAGTTTGAATGAATGATTCATCACAACACACCCAATTCAATTCAGTTCAATTCAAAAATACTTTATTAATCCCAGAGGGAAATTGATTGCTGAAGTAGCTCAGAATAATAATAATGATCAAGTCATCAAAGATGGCTCTGATCAAAATCACAAACGACCTCCTAGCAGAACTCTGGCCAGATTTCCATCCTCATCCTACTCGATCTCACACACAGTTCTACTCCATAGACTATCCACCATCGGCATTTCAAAAACTCCTCTAAATTGGTTCAAATCATATCTAATAATAATAATAATAATAAATTTTATTTCAAGCACCTTTCAATGCTCTCAAGGTCACTGTACAAGACAAAATATAAGGAACAGCAATCAATACAAACAAGAAATAAATGCTAAGAGTAATTCCCAAGGGTAGAGTCAGAGCAGTACAATGGATAATAGACTAAAAAGAGTAGATGGAGGGAGGACAGTTGCAATGAGTAAGCCAGGTGGAACATGTGAGTTTTGAGTTGAGACTTGAAGGTTGAGAAGGAGTTTATATTGCAGAGGTCAGGCGGTAGAGCGTTCCAGAGTTTTGGAGCTGAGTGGCTGAAAGCTCTGGCTCCCATAGTACAGAGATGAGTGCGAGGAACAGACAGGGAAGGTGAAGATGATGATCGGAGAGAGCGAGTGGGGGTGACGTGGAGGAGATTAGAAAGATATGGGGAGCGAGATTATGGATGGCTTTAAAGGCATGAAGAAATATCTTATAGTCAATTCTGTATTTGACAGGGAGCCAGTGAAGTTGTTGCAAGACAGGGGTGATGTGATTAAAAGTGGAGGTCTTATCTGGGCAGCTGAATTTTGGACTAACTAACTTGTTGAGTGATTTTAGAGGGAGACCGGAGAGGAGGGCATTACGGTAATCGATGCGACTGGTCACCAGGCTGTGGACCAAAATAGCAGTGGAGTGCTGACTGAGGGTGGGGCGGAGCCGATTGATATTGCGAAAATGAAAATAAGCTGTTTTTATTGTGTTGTTAATATGAGGAATGAAAGATAAGGTGTTGTCTAAGTTGACACCCAAGCTCCTAGCTTTGGCGGTGGGGAGAAGTGTGGTGTTGTCGAAGCTGAGTGAGAATGAACTGGTCTTGGATAGAGATGACTTGGTGCCAATGAGGAGGATATCAGTCTTATTACTGTTGAGCTGTAGAAAGTTAGAAGAAAACCAGGATTTGACTTCGGTGAGGCAACTGAGAAGGGAGGATGAAGGGAGCGGGGGGTTTGGTTGGGTAGAGAAGTAGAGCTGGGTGTTATTGGCGTAGCAGTGAAAATTAGCATTAAATTTCCTGAAGATATTGCCAAGTGGGAGTAAGTAGATTATGAAGAGAAGGGGACCTAAGACTGAGCCCTGAGGAACTCCCAGTGGCATTATCTCCTCCAGTGGTTCCACAGTCGTCCCCAGAACAGAACCAGCCTTTGTTATTAGGCTGTTGAGCCTTTTCAGGTCCCTGCTTCTGATGCTGCTACCCCAACAGACGATGGATGAAGAGATTACACTCTCAACAACAGACTTGTAGAAGATCTGCAGCATCTTGCTACAGACATTGAAGGACCTAAGCGTCCTCAAGAAGTGCAGTCTGCTGTGTCCCTTCTTGTAAACGGCTTCGCTGTTCTTTCTCCAGTCCAGTCTGTTGTCCAGGTGAACTCCAAGGTATTTGTATTCCTCAACCACCTCCACTTCTTCTCCCATGATGGAAACAGTGTTTGACTCCACCCTGTTTCTTCTGAAGTCTAAAATCATCTCCTTTGTTTTGTTCACATTCAAGGTCAGATGATTGTTTCCACACCATGCCACAAAGCGCTCCACCAGCTCTCTGCACTCAGCTTCCTGTCCATCTCTGATACACCCGACAACTGCAGAGTCATCTGAGTGTTTCTGTAGATGACAGGTCTCTGACTTGTACTGGAAGTCTGAGGTGTACAGGGTGAAAAGGAATGGTGAGAGTACAGTGCCCTGTGGTGCTCCAATGGTACTGATCACCTGGTTTGATGTGCAGTTCTTCAGCCTCACAAACTGTGGTCTGTTTGTCAGGTAGTCTTTAATCCAGGCGATAGTTGGGGCCCCCACTTGTGTCTTCTAGAGTTTCTGGCAAAGTACATCAGGCTGGATTGTGTTAAATGCACTGGAGACATCAAAGAACATGACCCTGACAGTGCTGCCTGCTTTGTCCAGATGACAGTAGGTTGGTTGAAGCAGCTGGATGATGGCATCTTCAACTCCAACTCCAAGGCGATAAGCAAACTGCAGCGGTTCCTGATATGTCCTAGTTTGCTTATTCAGGTGGACCAACAGGAGTCTCTTCAGGGCCTTCATGATGTGGGATGTCAGGGCAACCGGTCTGTAGTAGTCATTGACTGATGGGCGAGTTTTCTTTGGAAATGGAACAAGGCAGGATGTATTCCACAGGACTGGAACCTTCTCCTGGGCCAGGCTGAGGTTAAAGAGGTGCTGCAGAATCCCACAGAGCTGCTCTGCACAGGCCTTCAGTACTCTGGGGCTGACACCATCTGGACCTGCAGCCTTGTTCCTGTTCAGTCTTTCCAGCTGCCTCTTCACCTGAATTCTAGAGACAGATAGGCGGGAGGGGGAGGTCAATGGGGCAGCAGCATCTCCTGACTTGGTTGAAGATGGATTTATAGAACCAGAAGAGTCCATGACTGCGTTAGAGGACAAAAGAGCTGGCGTGTGACAGGAAAATGTTGGATCAGAGGAGGATGGGATGTCTGACTGGCTGGGGACAGGCGAGGAGGATGCTGGGTTTGTTCCTGAACTGAACCTATTGAAGAACTTGTTCAGTTCATTGGCTGTGTCCAGGCTGCCATCTGTGCAATCCGTCCTCTGCTTGAAGCCTGTGATCTTCTTCATCCCTGACCAGACATCTCTGATATTGTTCCTCTGTAGTTTGTTCTCCAGCTTCTTCCTGTATGCCTCCTTGCTGTCTCTGATCTTGATCTTCAGTTGCTTCTGTATACTCCTCAATAATTCCCTGTCTCCCTCCTTGAAGGCTCTTTTTTTCTCATTTAGCAGATTCTTCAGTTCACTGGTGATCCAGGGTTTGTTATTAGCGAAGCATCTCACTGTTCTGGTGGGTATGATGTGGTCCACACAGAAGTTTATATAGTCAGTGACACATCCAGTCATGGCATTGATGTCCTCATCATATCCTTGGCAGAGAGTCATCCAATCTGTGGTCTCAAAACAACTCTGCAGGGCTTCTTCAGCGCCCTGTGACCATTTTCTCACAGTTCTTCTTGTCACAGGTTGCCTCTGAACAAGTGGTTTGTAATCTGAGCAGAGAAAAACAAGATTGTGATCTGACTGTCCCAGAGGAGGTCTTGTTTTGGACATGTATGCATTCTTTACATTTGCATAATCCAATGTCTTGCTTTCTCTGGTGGAGCAGCTGACAAACTGTTGAAATGTTGGAAGTGTAGCAGAGAGCGAGGCATGATTAAAATCACCAGATATAGCCACAAAATCATTGGGGTGCTGGGTTTGTAGCTTAGCGACAACGGAACTGATGGCATCAAATGCATTTTCAGCAATGGCTGAAGGTGGAATATAAACAGTTGCCAAGACATCACTGGTGAACTCTCTTGGCAAATAATATGGGCGGCAACTTACTGCCAAGA